AGTAAAGTATATTTCAATGAGATGATGCGTGAATATTTAGCTTAATCTGTTGACCTTATGATAAGCCATTGCGTCTAACCGAAATTGGACACCCGTTCTTACACTATTACTTCCTGTGCCTTCTTAATTCTCACCCAACTGCTCACGGCCCATTTCCTCTTAAATTCATACATCCCATGTTCGTCTTTTTTGAAGCTTCTTACTATTCATAGGTGTTAGTACACCCAAATTAAGACAGGTAAACAGTGTTCATAAAAATGATGATAGTAAGCTACTGAAATCCTTTGTGAGCCCTTCACTAAGCCTTATAATCGCAAAGTTTTTGAAAGCAATATAGTCTTTGACTTTAATTGCCAGGTCTGATGAAGAAATCATTTCCGATAAAAGTAAAATAGAAAGTAAATTTTATGTGTATTGTTTTTAGGAGATCTGATTGCAAGCATTGATAACTTGGCTAATTGACATAAATGATAGAAAGATGATTATCTGCAAGACTGTAAGAAAATCAAGTAAATAATGACAAGATCCGGCGGAAAAGCCCAGGAGTGTTAGCAAGGCATTTGTTCGGAGTAATTCAACGATTTCCAACTGGATACCCAGATCACACTTTCAGTTTCATCAATTGACCATCACCGGGTAAACGTGGGGGTCATATTTGCTGTTCCATATGCTGGTGCTTAATAGGGTGGTTGAAAACGGGGAGCTCAATATACCAGAACCCACTGTTAGCTCAGTCATCTTCTAGGGGTTTAAAATTCACCGAGGGACCCAAAAGCCATCGCCCGAAAGAGAACCACCTCACAGAGGAAAATTAAGCTTCAGGTCGCATGTTGGCTTATCTGGCTTGATATGTGATACAGGCTTTTTGCGTTATTTGGTCACTGCTTCAATGACATATCCTTTTCCTTTTCGTACAGCTCAAATTTTGTCCAGCAGCCGGAAATGTCTACAAAGAGAACGTGGTTTTACAGCTTACCAACAGCTACATTAGGCCCTGTGTAGCCGTTAGCGGCTGGGGAGTCGAACCACGTCTTATTTTTGAGCCGTCCTCCCTACAGTTTGACCCCATCTTACCGACAATCGGCGAGGATGTAAAAGAGCTCATCGTGCGAAATCCCTGTCCGTTCCCCATCGAGTTCTACAGTCTCGAATATGATTTGGAGTATAGGAAGGTGAGACCCGAATGATGTTTTATTCACACCTATGGAAAGAGACAGCTAGGGAAAGAGACATACGTTTGGGAAGTCAGCGTTGAATGTGATAAATATGCTTAGGAATTTTGTCGGAAAGAGATTGGGCAAGAAGGGAGGATATGCATTTGGAATACAGAAATAAGAGAGGACGTCACGGAAAAGAGATTCAAAGGGCTCATAAAACCTACGAGGTCATAGCTGAAGGACATACTAACATAACACATTAAATTTCACTAGAAGACTGCTTCAAAACCTCCAATCTGAGACATGATGAAAACTTCTGTGAACTTTGGGAATCAGTCTAGCTGTTGGAGGGGCAACCAAGGATCGTATCTTCGTGATGCTTATCATATAAAAAACAGCTAGGTGGTCGCAGATAATCGGTATTAAGCCAAGAACGGTGAGGGAATAGAATGGAACGTTGAAGCATTCTCCATTTACTAGAACACAGGATCTATTTCAAATCTGCAAGTAAGGACAGTCGTGCTAAAATAAGTTGGAGTGGAACAGTTTTAATGGCAAGGAAGAAAAAATAAATGAACATGCATACGCACGTCTACCCTTGACTAAGCCTTTCACAGCCAAAAAGACCGCAAGTACCACGACGTCTAAAGTACTGTGTGCTTTTCTATTTGGAAATAGTACGGGATTGGCATGGGAAAGAAGGTGACAATACCGATAGCAACTGGCTTAGTTAACTTGATAAGTGCGGATGAACAAGCGATTGAAGGAAGCGATTTATCATCAAGGCTCTCTTATTTTTTTTAGAAATGAGGGTGCTTTGTAAAGTGACGAGAAATGCGCCGGTGTAGCAAGTTGCATATAAACTTTTGGCTTCCCTTTGCACATATTTCAATGCAATCCAATTGCTATCAGCTAGGCATGTGCATGCTTTTCTATCGCTGTTACCGGGCACTATTTCAGTCTGTACTACCTGCTCAAAATTAAAGTCATCAACTTACTTGTTGATGGAGGTTGGTGGTAACGTTTGCACACGTTTTGTCCCTTCCATCCCGGTGCACTAAGCTACAGTGCCATAGTCCATCTTCGATGAGCTGGAGGTAGGTAGATTTTTAACTGTCATTTGATGCATTCTTCGCGGATACTATCTGTGGCTCATACCTTGCATTTATATATATTCCTAATCTCAAAAGTAAAACACGTTTGTTACACCTCGACAGACGCTTTATGCCGCGTCAGACACAGCGCCAAATCGCATCTCCAGGTGACTACGCAGGGACTTACTTCTTGTATGTGATGGTAGAAATGTCGAATCCATTTGGATCTATGCTACAACCTAACATTTCTGGCTTCTGAAGTGTTGTCAATTCATGGGCTAATTCGGCTTTCCGTTCTTCTGCTCGTCAGGTTACACTGAATTTCTCCGCATTTAGATTTCTGGCTCCACCTTTTTGAAGAGGTGTCTGAGTCATCTTTAAGCGATAGGAATAAAATGACTGAAATAACATTAACATGAACAAAACTGGCTATATAGAGGGATTATAATTGCCTCCCTAACGTGAAGTCACCTCATCAGTTTGACTTCGAGAACGGGATCACGATACCGCGGGCGAGGATCTGAAGGAATAGGAGTTGTCTGCTGCCTGAGCTACTGACAGCAACTCAAACACCGTTATATCAATTTGCCTAGCAGGAAGATTTCTCTCAATGTTAGATTGCATCATGCCTATCTCAGTGCAGAAGGCAGTCAGACTACGCTGAATGATTAAATCAAAATGATATTCCTGGTGGCAGGTTATATTTGCCTCTGGCACTATAATGGCACACGTGCCTAATAGTGAGGTCAACCGTACTGACACTACTACTAATAGTACTACTACTACTACCGAAATCTCCTCTTTTCAGCAAGGCATGGGACTCGCATTTCCTCCTTACTTTATGGCGGTTATTGCTCGTACTGTCTGCATAGTCTTAGCCTA